TAAGAAGTTCGGTGGGTGTGATAAGGGAGAGCAGGCTGGGGATGACTGTGAAGGTGGTGTTGTTGGGAGGTAGGGTTTGTGCCGTGAAAAGGTTTAGGAAAGTGAGCTCTGAGAAGCGTGAGTTTGGGAAGAGAATAGAGCACTTGGCTAAAGTGAGTCAGATAAGTGTGAGTATCTTCTGCCTGTCATTGCTTATTTGTACGCTAAGCGGATCAAGTTTGTTCTCTCTGATTACAAACCTGGGAAGCCTCGCCGACTTGCTTGCCTGTAATTCGTATTCACTTGGAAGTACTTCCTATCATAAGGAAGTAGAAAACACTTCTAGTTTATTTATACTAAACAATAGGGTTCTTTAGATATAAGCCCATGCAACACTTATTTCCTTGACAAAAACCTATCTCGTTTTAAACATTCAAATAAAACCCAAATTTGAAATAAACTGCCATGTAAACAAATAAATACTTATTATTTTCAAAATATTTACAATTGTGCCACAACACCCTAATTATGTTGATGAATTTAATTACCACCTGTTGCAGTTCTATTTAGAATAGGAATGTGATTGTGTAAATCCTAGAGAATATGGGAAAGTATTATATATTCCTATTAGGATTAGATTACCTATTAAATGTTGTAATCATAAAGGGAAATGTATTTACCCTTCCAACTACTATAAATAAAGGCACAATGGGGTGAATCAAACACACCTCACAATTAAATCAATCTCTATTCTCTCTATAATGGCCGGCCTCCCTCTCTCTCTCTAAACCTTAGATCGCTCAATTAAATAGGCCTACAACACGTTATCAGCACGCTCTTGCCAGAAGCTGAGAAACTGAAGCATCGTAGGAGGAGGCTATCATCCACCACATTCAAAGGCTTATTCGTTTTTTGCTGCTCTGGTACGCTTAAAATAAAGGAAGATATTTGAAACGACCCATGAAGCATGAAAACATTCCCCATGATGCATGAACCCCCTATGTTTATATTTTCCTTCCGATATATATATATATATATATATATATATTGTATATGTTCATATATTTGTCACTATATATATTTGTTTCATGCATCACACAATTAAATTGTATGTGGAATTTGTGAGTCAATGTATAAAATTAAATTACAAGCATATTAGATTTTTCCTAAAACCTAAAGGGAATTTAAAAAAAAAAAGGGGGGGAATGGGATTTGGTGCATCGCACCATCCTTGTGCCAAAAAGGAAAACAGGCTTTGGCCTGATTTTGGTTTCTTTGCTGAGCCTGCAGCCCATGGCCTCTCTCGGCCTACATAAAAAACCTGCTAGCCCTCGGCTGGGCGCCTTATGCACATAAGACACACAAAGCCAGCCCTCGGGCTGGGCCTTTTGCGCCACTAAATCAAGGCCCTAGCTTTGTTGGGCTCCCTGCGTGACCAACCCGTAAGCCTTGGGCTTGCCCCCGTGACCCCTTGGACCAAAACACCTAAACCAGCTACGGCTGGGGGTTTTGTCCCTCCCGTGGCCTGCAGCTATACCCTAGGCCCTGGCATTTTTACTCAAGGCACCCCGTGCCTTCCCTTACCCACAACACCCATGCCCAAATTATTTTGGGGCATTTTTCCACCCACAAGCTATTATTTTAGCATTTTAAATAATTTAACCAGTATGTTAATATTATTTGCTTATACAACCGACCCTATATGGCTCGATTTATTGAATTAATTAAAAGTGACCTGCAGTCCACTAATCTGATAATGAATCCAAAATTATTGACCTGAAGATCACTTTTGGACATTAACGATTCAATAATTTATTTTTATACTTTGAACCGTCACATACTTTCGTAGTACTGAAGCTCTCACACTTGAGTTTCCGAAGCCAACTCAAATCCACTACACTTAGTTAGTATATTGCATTCTGTGTTTCTTGCAGGAACCTCTCATTATGAACTAATCGTTCATAAAACTAATTTGAACCTGTAGTTTCAAAATTAGTGCCTTTGAAACCTGAAGTTTTCATTCAAAACATACCACATGAAACCTGAAGTTTTCATGCATAAATTAAACTAATACATGTCTATAGAACCTGTATGTTCTACGATATATGTCTATGGTTTACCATATGACTAATCACGTTTTCCCCTCTGTTTTAGGGACATGTCGAACTTGAACAAGCTCGATTTCTCCGCTTTCGAAGTCTCTGGAAGAAACTATCTAAAGTGGGTTCAAGACGTGAAGCACCATCTCACTGCAAAGGGTATTAGAGCTACCATTGAGACACCTAGTGCCGACAAACCTGTTGACGAAGCTCAGAAGGCTACTGCAATGATCTTCATTCGAAGACACATCCATGATGCATTGCAGACTGAGTATCTCGCTGAGGAAGACCCACGCACCCTCTAGCTTGCTTTGGCTGACTGTTTCAATCACCAAAAAGACATATACTTGCCTGAAGCAAGACATGACTGGCAGCATCTTCTCTTCCAAGATTTTAAGTCCGTGAATGAATACAACTCTGAAGTTTTTAGAATCCGTTCTTTGTTGAAATTCTGCAAAGTGGAACTAACCGAATCAGATCTCCTGGAGAAGACCTATTCGACCTTCCATGCCACCAATATTGTCCTGCAACAACAATATAGGGCACATAAATTCACCAAGTTTTTAGATTTGATCTCTATTTTACTTCTTGCTGAAAAGCAGAACCAGCTTTTGATGAGGAATCATCAAGCTCGACCCACTGGCTCAAACGCTGTGCCTGAAGCTTATGCGACCAATTTTAGTAGCCATAAATGACGAAAGAATCGTTGTGGTCGTGGAAATGGGCGGCAAGCCCAACCACGGGCCCAAGGTCAACAGAGTGCCGCACTTAAGGGAAGAATTGCGACCCAGCAACGTCCACCACTCGCACCTAAGGTCCCAAACTTCAAGAACAAGGGCAAAGCTCCCATTCAGGCTGCTTCTACTGAACTGGATATGTGTTATCACTGTGGATCAAAGGATCATTGGTCACGCGTATGCCCAGTTTCCCCTGAGGCTATTGCCAAGTATCATTCCCGTCGTGAGTCTAACTTTGCACATGTGGATCATTCGGACGATGCAACCACATTAATGGAGATATTAGACTTCCAGGAGGCATCATCACCTATGGAAGACTAAATTAGACATGTTTTAGGGCATTAGCCCCTATTTTGCTAGGTTTATGGTTTAATTTTGAACAAATTTCTATGTATTTGGAATCTTTTGTTTGGTTTTGGTTTGTTTTGAATTATGGATTGTTATTGGAATGGATATTATTTTCTCGAATTGCTTAATTGAATGAATGGACTTATATTTATGCATGTGACCAATTCAATCAATTTATTTCTAGGTATGTTTAGTGGGGAAGTTAGTTGTCTGGCAGATAGTGCAACTACGCACACCATTTTGCATGAACGACACTATTTTACTAACTTCATACCCAAGAAAGCTCATTTGACAACTCTCTCAGGCTCATCCAACCTGATTGAAGGATACGGAAAGACACGTATCATGTTGTCTAATGGTACAATCTTGACCATTAAGGAGACACTCTATTCTCCACGTTCCGGAAGAACGTTGCTGAGTTTTAGAGATATTCGAGATAATAAATATCATCTTGAAACCACTGAAGATCATGGTTCTGAATTTCTTTGTATCACTTCATACGAATATGGCCAGAAGCATATTCACAAGAAGTTGGAACGTCTGCCAAGTGGGTTGTACATCACAACCATTCACAGCATAGAGGCCCACAGTGTGGCCGGCTCGATAATGTTGATGAACTTAATGCCTTCAAGCAATCTCTTCATCATAAATTTGCAATCAAAGACTTGGGAGTTCTTAAATACTTTCTTGGGATTGAGATGGCTACTTCCATTAAAGGCTTGTTCTTAAATCAAAGGAAATATGTGTTGGATCTCCTTGATGAGGCAAAGATGATGGACTCTAAACCTGCTTGTACTCCTTTAGTTAGCAAGCTCAAGTTGGATGTTGAAGGGGAACCTTTAACTAATCTTAGAACCTATCAAAGATTAGTTGGGAAACTCATTTACCTTACTATTACAAGGTCAGACATTGCCTATGCAGTGAGTCTTATTAGTCAATTCATGCACTCTCTTACATCACTTCACTAGGAAATTGTCAAAAGACTACTCAAGTACCTCAAAGGTTAAGTGGGAAGAGGCATTCTCATGAAGAAAAATGGTACAAGTCACATTATGGGCAACACTGATGCTGACTGGGTAGGTGATGCCCTTGATCGCAAATCTACCACAGGGTTTTGCACCTTTGTTGGAGGCAATCTTGTTACATGGAAAAGCAAGAAACAAGCTGTGATAGCTAGGTCAAGTGCCGAAGCTGAGTATCGTGCGATGGCATCCACTGCTTGTGAGCTGATTTGGTTAAAAAGTCTTCTTTCAAACCTTGGTTTCTCAAGCACAACCAATGTACTTGCACTATGATAACCAAGTTGTCATGCACATCGCATCGAATTCTGTGTTTCACAAAAGAACGAAACACAATGAAGTGGACTGCCACTATATTCGCTCCCAAATTCAAGCCAAAGTGATCGAAATTGTTTTCACTCGAAGCCATGACCAACTTGTAGATATTTTCACAAAAACCCTAGATTCTACTCAATTTCAAAGGTTGCTATGCAAGCTTGGAATATCAATCAATCCCTTTGATCCAGCTTGAGGGGAAGTGTTGAAAGATGTCACTCAGTGAATAGGATACAAGTTGCATCTACAACTCCAACTACTCACAAGTTGAGTTGCAGCCGCCACTATGCATCCTTTTCCCTAGTTTCAGGGTTTATGTTCACCTATAAACTTGTAACTAGGATTAGTCTTGCTTTATCTTTCTTGTAACTTTAAATTAAGTTTAGCTGGTTTAACTAGTGGTCCATTCAGTGGCATGTTGCTATTGTTTGTCCATTGACTCTCAGCCTTGTTCGGTCTCTCTATAGCCCTCACTTGTAAATGAAACTTATGAATGAATATACAAACAAACCATTTGAACTACAATTCAACAAAGGATATAATTATGCATCGATCCCTTGTACACACGCAAACTGACTATATAAAATACTAACAAGTAACACCATTAAAATTAGCTCGCTACAACTAATTACAATATCTCCACGATATTAAAACAAATCTCTTCTATTGAAGGCCTAGCGTCTGGTTTGGTACTTATACATGCCAAAGCAATTTCCAAAACCTTTGACACTTGCCTCTTCTCTTTGCCTTCCTTCACATAAAACTCAAAGAACTCCAAACCACCTTCTAATTTCATGCTTGCCTTCTTTTCCTTTACGCCCTCTGTCATTTCCAAACCCTTTGGTCCTGCCAATATGTCCAGCAGTATAACCCCAAAATTATAAATGTCACTCTTCTGACTCAGTTCATCAGAGTAGGTGGTATTTTCTTGCTGCCAGCTAGGCGACTTCATCAGCTGCCTTGTGTTGAGAACTTCAACTGGCTCTGCCAATTGGGTGAATCCGTAACCAGACAAGCAGGCTGAGAAGTCGGTATTCACCATGACATTGCAAACCTTAATGTTCCCATGCACGTTCATCTGCATCTTCTTCTCATATGGAGGGTATTGTTCGTGGATGAATCCAATTCCTCGTGCAATTTGAACAATTATGGTGAGCCTTTGGTTCCAGTCCAATGCTGTGTGGCCATGCTGCCTAGCACCTTAATAAATGATCAAATCAAATTAATCAAATGCCACACGGTGTCACAAAAATGAGACATATAATTGTATATTATATATCAGAGTGACAGTATCATAGTCGTTCCTTAGAAATTTTTAGTTCTAGTGCCAAAGTTCAGAATACGAACCTGATTATGTGGAAAGGTCTTTGGAACGGCGAAATAAATTCTTATTTTATTACCTTCAATATTTAGGATTTATTTTTACAAATATATGAAGAAAGTCCAAGACGACGTAGTTTTAAAACACACACAAATCTGTCACCAAATCGACATGGAATTTAGCTAGCTAGACTCATTCAAATTAATTAAAGATGCTCCTTGATGACTAAGAGCATCTCCAATAAATATGTTAAAAGATAAATGTCAAATGTTAATTTGATTGCTGACGTAACAATGTCAAATTTTCTTTTTTTTCCAACTGATAAATCAATTAAAATAAATTTTCAAGATCTATAATTGATGCATTAATGGAACCCACACAATAAAATAATTAAAAATTATTTGATATCACCTTTTCTCATAAGTCAAATTTGACATATGAAAACTTATATATCAATCCACATCAGTTGAAGCTTTTTCTTACTTTCAAATTTAATTACACGACATTTTACTTAGGATTTAACATCTTCTTTAGAGATGTCTAAAAGCATTGTTTTGGGTATTAATATGTTTAGTACCCAGAAATGATTTTTTTTAAGGTTATAGGAACATTTAATTAATTACTTCGTCGGGAATTACTTCCAAGTGAATACGTAGACTTACCGGCCAGCAAGTCGGCGAGGCTTCCCATGGGTTTATAATCGCAGAGAACAAACTTGATCCTCTTAGCATACAAATATGCAGCGACAGGCACAAGATACTCGCACTTCTGACTCACCCTAGCCAAGTGCTCGATTTTCTTCCCAAACTCACGACTTCCGGAGCTCACTTGCCTAAACCTTTTCACAGCACAAACCCTACCTCCCAACAACACCACCTTCTCAGTCATCGCCAGCCTGCTCTCTCCGATCACACCCACTGAACCCCTCAGCACACCCCTTAGTGTCAGGTGGGCTAGCTCTTCCCCGCACCCCAAACACTTCTTGTCGTGGCCGCAGTGGACAAGTTGAAGGTCGTCCATGAAGCCAACGATGCAGTCTTCATAGTCGGCGAAGGAGCTGGCGCAGCTGTTTAGTTGTTCGTTTTTGGGGCTTCTTCTGGGTTTTTCTGTTAGGGTTAACATATTTTTCTTCAGAGAGGAATGTGAATGTGATGTTTGGTGGAGAATGGCGTGTGGATGGTGGTGGTTTCCTTGTTTGGGTGATTTTGATTTATTATCATGTTTCTTGGTTGTATCAATCCAGCTAACCTTGCTGCTACATTATTGGGCCGTTGGGGTTCATAAAAATCCAAATGTGGAATCTGAAGTTTTGTTCAAACTTTGGCCTGCCAACCAAACCAGCATTAGCATATTCTATTCCGTCTATTAAAAAGCTTTGGGTTTCCTCCCTGAAATTCATTTTTTATACCTTCAATGCATATAACTTATTTATTTTATTTTTTTTCAGATTTAAACCCGATGACTATAAAACAAATTTTCTTAATAAGCTCGATATGTTAGATTGCGTAGTTTTTTACATTTTGATTTAACGTGCTATTTTTTCCTTTAAAAATAGATGTTTTATTTTACGTTTTGATATAGACATAGGTATATTACTTTCATGGGGATGTAGACATAAATAATAGGCGTTTGCCAAGCTTTGTTATCGTATAAAGTAATGATAGGGAGACCAAATTTTTTAAACTAAATAATGTGTCACCAATAAAAAAATAAACATGTTAATCAACGCTTAATTAATATTCAATCATCTACAACCACATCATTTAGTTTGCAAATTTGGTTTAAAAAATTTGGTCTCCCTAACATTACTCTAAATTTGATTTCCCTAGCATTACTCTATCGTATATAATGAGCAATCATATTGTAAAAAACAATGTACCATCCTTTTTTTTATAGAAAATAATTTCAAAAGTTTTAATGAAAAGTCCATGACAAAACAAATTTTAACCACAAATATTCGATGAATTTTTATTAATTACTAGCCTATTGCCACACATGTACACATGTGACAATTGGCCTTTGCATGTTAAATTAAATTTTTTACAAAATAAATTAAGAAATTCAAGTTTTTCTATTAATATATTTTTTATTATTATTTTTTTAAATAAATTAGAAGTTAAACATAAACCATCCAATAACGTGGGGTTTTATTATTATTTTTTCTAAATTTTAAAATTTTAAATTCATTCAAAGTGTTTTAAATTTTAAAATTCATTCAAAATTAATATTTATTGAATTATTTTAACTTCTTTTGTAAATTTTAAAATTCTTGAGGTGCAATTTCAAAATTAATTTTTAGGTGCTTCCTTTATATATGCAAATATAGATAAGCACAAAAAACCCACAAAAAAAGCCCACAAAATAAAACAAAACCTAGACATGCAAACCACCAAACCAAACCCAGCGCGCAGCCCACTCATGGAGAGACTTTCCAATATGCTAGAAATACAGTTAAATATACCAAATGTAATAATATAATGGTTAGAAACTTCAAAAATGGATTATGAATTTCCAACTAATTGTATATGACATTTGGGCTACCAGACCGAATTTCGGTACAATAAATATTTTTTCCCCCTCATGAGGCTACACGCCCACCAATGACAAAAAAAAACCTATTAAAGTATCTTCAAATGAGATGTTAAAAAGTTTACATCAGCAATAATAGTAAACAAAGACAACATTAGTGTTTTCCAACTTAAATATCAATTCTTATGTGTCATGATGCGGATTGACAACAAAGGTGATTGCTGTCAAAATTGATAGCAAAGGTGGTTGACAACAACTTCAAATATATTTTTAATGGATATTAATGTTTTTTTTTATCATTTTTATTAATTTTTTTGTTATAAAAATATTTATTAGAATTATGAAAAGTAAATAATGTAATAAATAATATTTTAATTTGCATATCGGTTGGAAAACAAAATTGTAAAAAATATCAAACTGCCACATAAGCCTTCAAATTTAAATTTTATGTTTAAAATTTCACATCTCTCTTGGAGATGCTCTTAAGGTGGGTTTTAAGTGTTTTTGTTATGAATAGGATCATTTTTTCTTTTACATGATTAATCTTGCACTTACTAAAATATTGAATTTTGTCTTTGTTATTAAAAAAGTTTATAAAGTGTTTTTCGTCAAAAATTATTTTGTAAGGCCATTTTTATGAGTTTTCTAAACAATCTATTTGTCTTTTTATCTCACGTAATAAAACTCATTAATGACAGGAATTACTTAATTTTCAAAGAATTCCAAATGACAGGAATTACAATTTACAGTAATTAAAACTCATTAATTAATTTCGTTGTTTGAATGTTGGATACAGAGAAATTACATAATGAGGGAAATTACAAGGTACATTTTTGGATAATTCCTAGAATTTGTATTTAATACAAGAACACAAACTTAAAAAAGAAAAACGTTAAACTGGTCATATGGTCAAGCTGAATTTTGATAGATCGGTGTCTAAGGACAAGGTGGTTGCAGCTTTTATTCTTAGAAATTGTGACGCTCATGTTGTGGAAGCGGGTGTTTTAAACCTTGACAGGGCCACTGTTACTTTCGATGAAGCTATGGGCTTAAAAGAAGGCCTCAAGTTTGCTCGGTCCAAGGGTTTCCAGAGGGTGGTTGTGGAAAGAGACACCAAAATTGTTATCGAAGCAGTGAAAGGAAGTTGGGAGGTCCCCTGGAAGGTCAATACGTTAATCGAGGATGCCTGTGGTATTGCTTGCTCCTTCAGGCAGGTCGAGTGGAACCATATTACCTTGAGAGGCTAACTTTGTTGCAGATGCTTTGATCCACATTGGTCCTTTGCTGGAATCTGCACGTGTTTGGGATCACTACTTACCTACTAGTGCTCTTTCTTGCTTTTAACTTTGATTGTATTGGAAACGGTTGTATTCGCAGTTTTCGCTTTAATGTCAATTCTTTTTTGGATAAAATAAAAAATATCCAGTTCACCTTTTCTACAATGTTGCAACCTATTTTTAACCATTTAAAATTCATCTAAAACTATACCAGAAATAGAGATTATATATTTCAATGTAAAAGAATACGGTACAAAAATGCAACAGGGGAGTGAAAGCCCAACTATAGATGAGTGCAATCCTCAATTAGTACTACATCAATGATACAGCCAGAAGAACATAAATAAATAAACTAGGGCTCCCAAATGCCAATGCTTAGTACATAAAGAAACACACACTACAATTTCTAACGATTAACTTCTTAAAAATATTTTACGAAAAATAAGTTTACAATAATATTATAGAGTTGATTGAGGTAGGAAAATCCCAATAAAGCACACTTGTAAATGTCAACAAACTTTCATGACATGCAAGGCTTTTATTCTAACTAATGTTTTACTGAAAAACACTAAAATGAGATATGTAATGAAACCGATTCTATACGCATCGTGAAGCAAGCAATAATACCATATTATTTTTCTTCTCAATTGAGAGTGTTTTCAACATGAGAAATTGCTTGTTATTTTCAATCGACAAAACACATGCTTTGATTTGTTCTTTTTCATTGAAATCTGGTATCACATTTACTTTCACATACCTTTGTTAGACCACACTTCTTTCTGCACATATAGCTTTGAACAGACGAAGCCATCTTAGCAAGTGATTTTGCAATCACATCTTTATGGGTGGCTGATTTTCTCTTTGTACAAGACACATCAACATAACTTGATTTCTTTTGTTTTGAGTCTTTTGACCATTGGCTGAATTAGGTGAAATCTCATTAATAATTTCATTATCTTCTAAACCTTGCGTATCACCAACCAAATCAATATGATCAAGCTCATTGGAGCAGTCATAACCTCAAAGGCTTCTAAACCTGTTTCAGCACCCTCACATGGGGTTTTTTTTTTTTTTTGCCACACAAATCCACTATGTCATCCTAATTTGGAATGACTTTTTAATGAAATCTTTTAGCACCATCATATGTGTGAAATCTCGTCTCCGGATATCACTATTAGTTTCCATATTTTTTTAAATTTCATGATTTTTTTTATTTCATTAATTTTAGAATTTTAGTTAGTTAGAAAGTTTTATTTTTTCGTAGTGAGTCAATAAAAATTCGCAGACCTTTCGGGATCACTCTTAGTATTTTCGAATAGAGCTCGATTGCAAAAAAGATTTGAAACAAAAGATAAATAAGCAAGCAATAGCACACATTTCAATTTCAATATATAGAAGGCTCTAGTAAAGCTAGATCACCTTACCATTTTGGGAAATTTTAACCCGCGAGCTAACCCGATATCTTCCTTGACCCACATCTTCAACGCATTTATGGGAAAATTTTTAGGTGACCTTTCCAGCGTGCTACAACGATAAAAACCGTTGTGACCATCACATTCGACTCCTATTAACCCCACAAACAAAACCCACCTAGATATCACCCCGTTTTGCAATCTTTTCTAGCAAGTCAAGCTCGATGGTTTTTCGAGTTCCTAGTCGGCAATCTTGTGTTTACGTTCACCCCAACGCCAACCACCACCATTAATTAACAGCCTATGACACAGAAGGATATCCATAAGCCTCGATCATCAGTTAGTGCAGTAACAACAGTGCGGCAAGGTGCGAATTTTCCGGCCAACCAAGCATTTTACGATGATTTTTCATTTTCATTGCCTTCCATCCACAACCAAACTATATCGAAGGTATAAAAATTACTATAATCTTCACGAGCTTCATTTTGGTATTATTTGGTTGATTTTGGTATTGATTGAATTCTAGCGAGGTACTGATGTGTGGCTTGAGGACGTAATTGTCTTGTATGTTATTTTTGATGCCCTGAGTCTATTTTTGATATCCATTTGACCAGATTTGACTATTTGAACTTAATTTCATAATTGACTGCCGCTTAACCTTTGTAGTAGGCAAAGATCCAACCTCTAGATCGTTATGGAATTGTAATATGTTGTGGTGGGAGTAATGTGTTGCCCTTAGAAATTAACGGATCATAAATTCATTGAATGGATCTTCCAAATTAGACTACTTAGGTTTATGGACCTTAACATGAATCACTTTGTAATCGGCTTGTACAATCTATAATTGGCTTGTACAATCTAAAATCAAGTGTTTTATCACTAGAATTGTGAGACGAGACTTGTGATTTATTATAGGCTCTAGTCGTATATGAGCACCTCTATCCTTGGGATAGGGTGCTATAGCGCGGACTCCAGGTGAGTGACTTTAATATATGTGATATGATTATTAAC